GTGCAGGCTTCTTCTGAACCGACGCAGGGAGCCGACAGGGCCCCGGGACTGAAGAGAAAAACCCCACGGTGAGTGAGGACCGGCGCTGAGCGAGGAGGTGGCGCAGAGGCGATCGCCCCGGGCTGGCGGGGGCCGGGGGGGCGACGAGGAAATGCGGGCGCAGCGGGGGGGAGAGTGCAACATTGGGGTAGGAGGTGGAGGACCCCTCTTCCGCGCCCACTGTCCGCTGGCTTCCGGGGCTGCCTTTTCTCTCAGTCCCCTGCTTGCTTCTCAGCTCGTGAGCCCTTCCAGGACAGGGACCACGGTCCAGTCTCCACTCCTGAGCTTCAGGGCCTTCATTTTAGGAGCTTTATAAATAAAACCCTCCTTCCTTTGCAGTACACGTTTTCCCCGAACCCATCCCCAGTCACACGCGCCGGTGGAGTGCGTGTTAGGCGAGAAGACAAAACTTTTACAGAAGTGCACCCTGGGCAAGAGGACAAAGTTTGGGAGCTATGGTCTGAAGTCGGGGAGGCTCGGCTTGGGGCCAAGAAGGGGAACTCCGCGCCGTCAGCCAGGTCGGCCCCGAGGCTGTTGATGCTTCCTAGAGGAAGGGTGTGTAAAGGACATACAAATCCTGCTGAACCCCTGGCCAACAACTGTCAAACATCTGGGTTCCCAGCCCCTCCCTTTCCCTGCTCTGGAGGAAAAGCTGAAAACCCTTCAACTTTTCTTTTCTCTCTCAACTTTTCTTTGATTGCTCCTTCCCGCCTTTGGACCCATCTCGGGAGGGGAAAGGGCCCACCCCTCTGCTAGGCAAGTACCAGAGGCCCTTACCCCCTAGAGGCCCTTTAGCCCCCTTCTTGGGCCCTTCCCACGGGTCTCTCTACAGGGATCGCGCCACAGAACCAGCTGAGATCATAGAACGGCCTTTTGTTTCCCCACGTTTTCCCTATTGTTTGTTTTCCAACATCTGGCGGGGCTTGGAGAGGGGAGGAAGCCCCTCACACTCCCCCAGCTCTCCCTTCCCAAGAGTTGTGGGTCCGCTCTGGCCAAGGACTTAATCTGGGAGAGACTGGAGCCCGACCCCAGCGAGGCTGCCCCACCCGGGCCTTGCGGTTAGAAGGCGGAGGGAAAGTTGTTCCTTCCCCGCCTTCTTTGCTGCCTGTGGCCCAGGGCGCATTTCTCAGATCTTATCCCAGGCGCGCTGAAAAGTGCGCAGATCCAAGAGGAGTGCTGCTTTCGAACGAGTGGGAGCAAGGTTCCGCCCCTACTCAGGGTGTCCTTTGGTGGGATCCAGTGATTTCAATCCCTGGCCAAAGGCATTGTGGCTGGGCCGCTGCCAGGGCAATGGGAGAGAGAGAGGACGTCACTAGTGGGCAGAAAGCCGAGGTTCTGGGGTCTGTGAGTTTCCAAGGTCAGAAGGGCAGGCGAGTCGCCTTAAAGAGAATGGAGATGCAAATAACTTTTGAAGCAACAAGACTTTGCCTGGGATAGTGGTGGAGTGGCTCTCTCTGGAATGAACGTGGATTTCTAACATCTGACATCCCTTAGGGCTCCGCTTTGAAATTCCAGTACCCTCTCTGCATTTTAGAAGGAGCAGACCAGGGACGATCCTGTGCCGCGGCTCAGGAGCTGATAGGGCAGTGTTCATGCTTCCATGTTCCTGAGATGACTTGAGGTAGCCTCGAGTTCCCTTGTGGATGCTCCTGTCACATTAGAGGTGGCCCTATTCTCCTGCCTTCCCTCAAAGGTTAAATCTTTAAACATCTTGTTCATTCTTAGTGAGTGCAGATTATTTATTAACGAACCATGGCAAAGGTAATCATTGTGAGAAGGCAGGGACCCCAGGTGTTGCCTAGAGAGTTGCCCTGTTAGTGCACCTGTTGGAACCATAGCTTCACGGTACCTCACCATACCCTAGCAGTTGACTGGTGTTACCTGCTTTTTCTGTGGGGTGCTCAATCATCCCTTCTTCTAAGGAGGCTCAGTTAACCCAACTACTTTTAATCTTCCAACTTTGATCCAGGAGATAGAGGGAGGGAAGAAGCTTGGCCTGAACACTTATCACCTATGTGTTTACTTAGCTCATTTTAAATGGAAATTTTGTTTGGCACACTGCACAGTTCTAGAAGCTTTCCCTTTACCCAATTTTACAGAACTTGTGAACTTTGATTTCATAAAGAAGAGCAAATGAGGGCTGCTAAGTGAGGAATGTGGACATACGGAACACCTGCAGTGATTCCTGGATAGTAACATTGGGACCAACAAAAGAGAAAAGCAAATTCTTTGAACTGCTGGACGGCATGTTACAAACATTTCATTATGAAGATGATCCCCAAGGAAGGATTCCTTTGAAATTTAATAGCAGCAGCAGAAGCAGCAGGGGAAAAGCACAACGAAGGACCTGGGTTGTTCAAGAAATGCTCAAAGGCATCATTAGCCAAGTGAAAGGATAGTTTTTGTCCCAGTCCACCCCAGTAAAGATAACGGGGTAATTACAGTGGAGGATACACTTTTTTTCTGTTTATTTAATTTTAGAATTTAAAGTGATTCCCCAAAAAAACATCTTAGAAAATACAGAGGCAAAAAATGAATTGTTGTGTTTTGCCATTGAGTTGGATCCGACTCATAGCGACCCCTCCTTGGATTTCTGAGGTGATATCACTACGGAAGTGGATTGCCCAACTTCCCTTCCGAGGAGTGGCTGGTGGGTTTGAACTGCCAGCCTTCTGGTTAGCAGTCAAATGCCTTCGGCAGTATGCCACCAGAGCTCCTTTAAAAAAAAAAAAAAAATTAATTAGAAAATGAATATTATAAACAAGACTTCAGTGAACAATCTTTTCAATTAGTTCCTTATAATAAATTTCTAGAGGTAAGAGAGCTAGTTCAAAGGACATAATGCACTTTTCAGGATGTTTGAATATTGCCATGTTGTCTTCTAGAAAAATCTGTGCCAGTGTACCCTTTCCCCAACAATATGTAATTGTCTGTTCCCCATACCCACCCACACACTGTATTATCATTTTTTGTCATCTTTGCCAAGCTGATGGCAGGCAATTATCTTGTTGTCTTATTTTGCATTTCTTTAATCACAAGCAAGATTAAACATTTTTCATATCATCTGTTAGTGTTTTTTTCCTTTGTGCTACTGCCAGTTTGTGTTGTTACCTATTTTTCAGTGAGGGTGTTCTCTTTTTTCTTTTCAATGTGATGTGCTATTTATGAAAGCATACTGCCCCTGTCTGCACAACTGAATAATCTCTATGGACTGAAAGGACTCAGCTTTCTTGGCCAAATCTCATTCTCCTGAATAGCAAACACTTGGCAAACCTATAACCATAAATTACTAAAATAATTGACATGATTCCAGTGGAATTATTAGGGATACCAGGCAAAGGCATTATTAGAGAAACTCATGGAAAATACCACGTCTATATTTTCTACTTAGTAGCTTGCATGCCGTAACTCCTTTTCAGCTTGTACTGTAGTGCTTTTTCCCCTCATTTAGAACAATTTTGTTGATGCATTGTTTTTACTAAATGAATCACACTAACTCACTTTATTGTCTGATCCTTCCACTGATAAACAATCTAAAATGATCTACAACTTGTTCTTTAAAACATTTGTTCTAACTTTTTGATGGAAATATGCCTTAGTTTCTCTCTTTGTCTGTGCTACTTGATCACAGAACTTGGACCAATCTTCAATCTGAACAGTTTAGCAGTATGCCATTAATAGCAATAGCAGAAGAGGTCTCCCAAGAGTTGAACCAGGTAATTTCACTGTCTTTTGTGCATTTGTGTAGACCCAATCTTTGTGTTAATTCTTGCCTGAAGGTAGATGATTCTGAAATGAGGTAAGGAAGAGGGAAGAAGAGAAAATTCATTTCAGCTAGGTGGTTAATACAAATAAAGGGCTACACATACAAAAAATTAATAATCTAGGTAATCTGGGCACAAAGTAACTTTAAAAAGTGTAAGATATTAAAGTGTCATATATTATCAGAATGGCTAATATTCTTAACAGATTTAAAAAAAATTGTAACTGGGAAAATGCAATGTAAAATTTTTCCATAGTTGGACTCCAAGCATTTCATTTTAGGCACTAAAAATACAGCAATAGGTAGGAATTACACTTTTCTGCAGCAATTTACATGTATTTAGAAAATCAAATTATATACATTAGAGATGAACAGTGCTTGGTATTAGAATTATAGGCTCTCAAATGTTGGACAAGAGCTTAATGATCAGCTAATTCAAACAACCAATCTCACTGTAAACTTTCCTTTCTCAAAGTAACAAAATACCATCCTACTCAGCGTCATTTCAAACAGCTCAACCTGAAAAGCAAATGGACCAGAAATGTCAACTCTTTTCTCTAGGACAGAGAAAGGAAGCATTTTTTTTTTTAATTCTATAGAGATTATATAAACTCTTTTAATGTGCTGACCTTTGATAGAGTAAAGCCAGTAAGAGGGTTTAGTCATTGAGGTGTTAAATTTTGCAGAACTTTCTAATCCATATTCTCTAATCATTGGTTTGGTAAAGTTTCAGTGTAGAGCAAAGCAAGTACACCATGGCACAAGGAAAGGGAAAAGAGTAGAGGGAGAAGGTGGCGGAGAATGCTATTCCTTTCAAACTCTCTGCAGAAGAATAACTCAGAAAAGTAGGATGAAAATGGTCGCCCAACTTGAAGAATGTAATCATGCACTGAATTGTGTGTAGAAATTGTTGAATTGGTACAGGTTTGACTATATACATTTTCAGCAACAAAAATAAATAAAGCTAAACCCTGAACCTCTCTCCCTGACTTTCTAACAAGACTCTTGGTCACCCAGGAGTTGGTTGGCATTGTTTCTCCTTGGAGAAATGAGTGTGACTCATGTTGTAAGGTCAAGCTTTAGAGACAGCAAGCAATGCATAAATCACCACCAATCCAGATAAAGGAAGATTTACAGGATAGCCCAATAATCCTTACAAAGAAGATGGAGAAGGAGATTTTGATTCTAAAAATATACCTTATTTCCTCCTGAGCAGCATTGTGAATGTCTGCAAGTAGTAGAAACACTTTCTGATTTCCAATCGCACGATCTCCCAGGCACAGTGACTATATTTTTTATCTTTCAGGAAATTGCCTATCCTGTTAAAATATCTCCTCAGTTCCAGGTTGCTCAGCAGAGGCTCCCTAGCTCCTGAGTAACTGATCTCTTCCATCTGTTTTGTGTCTTCATTTTCTTTCTCCTCTTCTTCCAAGCATCGTTCTAGGTACTCTATTTGCTGATCAAGTCCAATTTGGATTTGTTTGAGGTGTTTCTCTTCCCAAGCAGACTTGAAGGCGTGCCGACTGAATATGTTAAAGACCTGTGAAAACATCTCGTAGAAGGCCTCCATGATGTCTCTGTTCATAGGCTGAGTATATGATAGGATCTTTTGAGGCAACTCAAAGTCTTTGTTTTCTGTTAGACATTCTACAGGAAATGAATCGCTCATTTTGTTCAGAATTCTCAGATTTTGCCAGGTGACTCTATTCAGGTGAACATTCAGCAAGCCACATTCCAAAGAGAGGACGCTGGGGAAGAGCAGGCCTACCAGGCACGCTGGCCACAAACAGTTTTGAATCGCATCAGGCTTGGCACTCATTTTTTTTCCTCCGAACTTAAAAAGTCACAAGTCTCAAGGTTGACAATGATGCTTTAGGTTGTCCGTACTCCTTCCTGTGCCTTTTATATATCTGGGTATCTTTAGCAGGAGGAGTTTCTCATTCGTCATTTTACAGTGCTCAGGGTTGGGGCCCTTTTCCTCTGCCTCTGGGACTATTTTTTGACTCTGGGTGACTACACTAACTGGAAATGTTATGGAGTTTTTTTTTTTTTTCTTTGAGAAAAGTATGCTAAGCATTACTGTTGCATTTCCTTAAATGCTTGGATGATGCATCCCAGCACTATAGAATCATCATCACAAGACTGATACAGTCTTTGGGAAAGAACTGAAAGCTGTGGTTCTAGACACTCGTTCACCCAATTCTGTTACATAAGGGACAACAACTCTTTAGGAAAGTTTTCTTGTTTTTTGTACCTGGCAATATAGCCAAACATCCTCTCTCATTAAGCTTAATCATAGACACCAATGAAATGACTATGATTATTTGATTGCTAGGTCATCAGAACATAGCATAGGTTAGGTTTTTCTAATTTTGTTAAATAAACCTTCTATAGTGGGAAATTTTCTCTTTTTATTTGCTTTCTCTGGGTCTCACAAAAAATGAGGAAAAGAAATTTTGTCAATTATCATGGCACTTGCCAATTAGAAGATTTGGTTGGTTTTCTGATGCCATTAGAAAATGTTGATACTCTTCAACAATCTTTTCCTTTAGATGAAACTATAACCAATGTTTCCTACCTCCATCTAGCATTTCACATATCTCTGATGTCTTTCTTAGAAGTTCTTCTGGGTTATATATTTGGGAATATTTGTCTGTTTCATTTACTTTCTTCTTTTAGTATCATAAGAAGCTCTGGTGGTACAGTACCTAAGGCATTGACTGCTAACCAGAAGGTCAGCAGTTCAAACTCACCAGCTGCTCCTTGGAAGGAAGATGGGGCAATCTACTTCCGCAAAGATTTACCACCCTGAAAACCCAGCGGGGTTGGCTATGAGACAGAATTGACTCGATGGCAGTGGGTTTTGGTTTTTGGTTTGTAGTTTCATACGTTTTCCTGTTCTTTTAGATAAGTAATAGTTTAGACAATATTTTAAATTTAGTTTTTAGTATTAATTTAAATGTTAGTTTAGACTACATTTTTAGTTTAGATTGTATTTTAAAATAGTCTTACTTGGAGGTTCTGGACTCTGTAAAAATTTTTGTTTTTTCTTTTATTTTTCACTGAGAGGATTTATGAGTAACTGGCCACTAAGTTTAGCTGATTTAATTCACACCAAGACCAGAATTATTGTGGTAATCATGGCTATTTGCCACTTACGGTTTTCACTTTGTTTGACCAAAGAATCTTCTTCTGGATTGGGTCAAGATAAATGGATTCCTTTCACTAGAAATGTAAAATGGTATGGCATAAAAGAAGGCTAGTTTACTTTATCTTTTTAAAGGAAGAAATATATGCCTTTTCAATAAAGTCATTTTAGAATGTCAGGTAACCACAGTCCCAACAATATGGCAGACTTTGATTGGAAATTGAGCTTGACAAATACTTGTCTAAATCAGCTGGCTATAGCAACATCTGATTATGAGCAAGTGATATTTAAAAATCCTGACTTTTTGGATGGATCTCCTTGAGAAAGAAACTTCACACATGTATTACTCTGTATGCCCTATCTGTATAAAATCTGATTTTACGGATAGGTTTCTTAAATGAGTGACCACCTTTGAAGAAATAATTAGGAAAATGGACCCTTCATAGAGTTTAATAGGATTGTAAGTTGACACAACCATCCTAGAAAGCAAAATGGCAACATGCATCGAAAGCCTTAAAATCATATCACCTTTGACTCAGTAATTCTCCTTCCAGGAATTTATCTCTAAAAAATGATAGATGTCCTTAAAGACTTAGCTGTCAGGAAGTTTATCATACCAAAAAACAGAAGACAATTTAAATGTTCAACAATAGGGACTTGGGTAAATAAGCCATCAATAGAAAACTGATGTGCAAGGATTAAAAAGTTGTAGGAATATACTGTATTTGGTCACTTGGATAGATATACTCTGTAGCTTAAAAATAAGGTTACTTGTTACTATCTAGAGTCTGGTACTATTTTTATAAAATATGGATATATGTACAGAAGAAATCTAGAAGTATGTATACTAAAATCTTGAGTCATTATCTTTGACTGGAAGAATAATGGACAGTTTTTATTTTTGTATTTTTATTTATCTAGATTATTTTAACTTTTCTGTAGTCAGTGAATGTTTCTTATTAAGTAGGAGAAAACTATATTTTAAAAAAGAAAATTATATACATGAAATGGGATTAATACTATCTTACTTTATTTACTTAAACATTTCTACTCTGTTGTTGTTATTTGCCACCGAGTTGGACCCGACTCAAAGAAATGCCTCCTTGGGTTTCTGAGGCAGTATCAATGTGGAAGTAGATTGCTCAACCTTCCTTTCGAGGAGCGGCTGGTGAGTTTGAACTATCAGCCTTCTGGTTAGCGATCAAGTGCCTTAGGTACTCTAGGTACTTCAAAAGAGAATGTGAATTTTCCCTAAGGCTTAGTTTCAATTCCATTGATATGAATACTACAGAGTATATGGGAATTCAGTGTACTAAAGTTGCAACTTTTTTGTTAAGTTTCCTTCCCCCCCCAAAAAAAAACATACAAAGAGAGAGTCTATAAAGTACAAAGCATTGTGCTAGCCTTTATGGAGGGTCCAAGAATAATAGAGTTTCTAACTGGGCAATCTACTTCCATAAAGATTTGTTGTTGCTGTTGTTGTTGTTGTTATGTGCCGTGGAGTTGCCCCGACTCATAGCGAGCCCTCCTTGGTTTTCTGAGGCAGTATCACTACAGAAGTAGATTGCCCCATCTTCCTTCCGAGGAGTGGCTGGTGGGTTTGAACTGTTAGCAGTCAAATGTCTTAGGCACTATGCTACCAGAGCTCCCCTATAAAGATTTACAACCTTGGAAACCCAAAACGGGTCGCTATGAGTCAGAATCAACTCAATGGCAGTGAGTTTAATTTTGGTATCCTTATAGAATTTTAAAACCTAGTAGGGGAAACAGGTATGTAACCAGCCAATTCCATTATGTCTTAATGCTGATAGTACAGAAGGAGGAACAACTCTGAAGGCTGTACTTCTTACATTATATGCACACCTTTTTCTACCTAAGCCTTCTCAAACCATCACATTGAGAACTGCTTGCTTCTCTTTTGGACTTTTAACAATGCTTTATTCTCCTCCCACCCCTTAATTATGGCTTTCTTTTATACATAATTGCATAAATATTGATCTCCCAATTTTGAGCACTTGCCCCCAACCCATTCCTGGTGCCTAGCTTATCTTGCCCATGTTTGAGACAGTTCAGTACTAAGCAATTGCATTACTATGCATTACTATGCCAAAACTTCAATTGCATTAGTATACCTAAAGGTTCTGCTCATAGGTGATAGAGGTGGCTGCAGAACTGACTATTGTCAACCATCTTGTTGTTCCTGTATTTTCTGCCATATGCAGTTTGGTCATTTTAACCTTTCCCAAATTCCTCCATCTGCTGTCATTCAAAACTATATCCTCATTTATTAAAAAATGTACTTTTAGTATCTTTGTTGTTGTTAGTTGCCTTTGATTCAGTTCTAAATTATGGTGACCTTATGTATAACAGACAAGGAGATCTGGTGGCACTGTGGTTAAAGCATTGGGCTGCTAACAAAAAGGTAGGTTGTTTGAACCCACCAGCCACTCCGTGGGGAGGAAGATGAGGCAGTCTGCTTCCATAAAGATTTACAACCTTAGAAATCATATGAGATAGTTCTGCTCTATCCAGTAGGGTCACTATGATTTGGAAACAGCTCGATGACAGTGGGTAGGTATGTATGACAGAACACAATGTTGCCTGGTCTTGTGCCATCTTCATGATTGTAGACTGATGTTTGAGTCCATTGTTGCTGATGTTTGTGTCAATCCATCTCATTGAGGGTTTCCCTCATTTTTGTTGGCCCTCTACCAAAGTAAGTGAGTTGAAGTCTCACTGTTCTTGTTTCTAAGGATTCCAGTTATTTGATTTGTTCATTCTTTTGGCAGTCCACAGTATATTCAATATTCTTTGCCAACATCACACATCAAGCATCAAGTTCATCAATTCTTCCTCTGTCTTCTTTCACTATCCAAGTTTTGCATGCATATAAAGTAATTGAAAAGACCATGACTTGGGTTAGAAGCACCTTAGACTTGGGTTAGACACACCTTAGTCATCAAAGTGGCATCTTTGCTTTTAAAAACTTTAAAGAGTTCTTTAGAAGCAGAAACCACATGGCAGTCACTGGACTAGGTCCAGAAGAAAAAGAAATAAGATATAGCTCATGATTTCAAGGAAACCATGGTGAAAAAAGTAGATATGCCCTGAGTGTTTTAGATAGAAGGAGTAATTCTTATTGCTTTTCTATAATAACAACTCATTTTCCATTTGGTTTAAATGTTAATTGATGTCAATGTTCATAATATTCATGACAAAGGTAGAAGGAAACATGGCTCCCATATATTCCTGCCCCTCTTCCACCATTGTTGTTGTTATGTGCTGTCAAGTCACACCTGACTCATAGCAACCCCTCCTTGGATTTTTGAGGCAGAATCACTACAGAAGTAGATTGTCCAACCTTCCTTCTGAGGAGTGGCTGCACCAGCCTTCTGCCATTAGGTTTGCCTAATTGCAATATTTGGGGCATACTTATACTAAAAAATGATTCATTGTTCATCTGAAATTCAAATTTAACTGAACATGCTGTGTTTTAGTTGGCAACCCAATCCATTCTGCAAGCTCCCATTGACGTCTCTGTACAGAGTCCAGACTTGACCCTCTCTGTTACTTCTCCATCTCGTGCAGCCTTCGGTTGCGTTCACTTGCATTCTATTGTATTTCTCCGTGTTGTCTTTACTTGTGTACATATTCCTACTAACATTGCACAG